GGGGAGGGGAGGAGAGGGGATGGAAATTAAACCTTGCAAAAACACCGTGCTTTTCCGCAAAATTTTCTAGTTTCTACAAGAAATACCCTCTTTGGCCCGAATCAGCAAAGAGGAGAGGGGACCGAAATTAAACCTTCACTACCTATCAGCAATGTCCAGGAGGGCCAAATCAAGCTGCATCATTCCACCGCATCTGACCGGGCTGGAATCTGACAGAGAACGCGACAATGGAAATGGATGTTCCTCCCAGTTTGGGTGGTTTCCTTTTCTCCCTCGTTCGCTGAGAAAGCACCACTGCTTGGACAACAGTGGGATGGTGGCGGCGGTGGACAAGGGATGGGAGAACGGTGAAGATGCATGCTTGTCCTTGTGTCGAGGAAGAGAAGACGGGAATAAGTTCGAGTAGGTACAAGTAGATGATTGAAAGGAACCCAAGAAGAAAGAGGCAAAGGATAATAAAATGAAAAGAGCGAGAAGAGGAGGGGGGCGGAGGGGAGAAGCCGATGGATGGTCGGGACAGGCAACGCAACACCAGGAGAGACTAGGGTTTCGCCCTACCGCAGGAATGACAGGGTGGCGAAACCTGCTCGCAGCGCTTGGTAGAAACATCGCCCTCGGTAGGATCTCTCTAACTGCACCTAGGAGACATAGCATCATCATTTGGCCACCCGAATCACCATAAGAGGACTGTCACAATTATCAAAGACAACGAAGCATCCAGATTACTCGGATCATTTGAGGCCCCCCCATCATTCGCCGAAAATCAACGGGCCCAAAAACAATTGGACTGGAACCTGTACAGAAGTTGAAGACAACGGCCACAGAATGCTTCTCCTCCCGATCCCCCTATCCATCCGGGTCGGATTGGGATCCGTTTCGCCGAAAAACTGATGATGATAGATCGTCAGAGGATTGCTTGTAGAACTGCATCTTGACGGGCCAGTTCAAGAAGCATAGGGTCGTCGAAGAACTTGTTGATGCTCACATCTTCACTCATACCCTGAATAATCAAAGGACAAGATCGACGATCACAATCACACACAGAAGAAATCGTCCAAAGCCCCCGCAGTGAGCGATTCATAAATAATAAATACCTTTCAGTCTTTCGGCTTATGTGCTTCCCCCTCACCCCCTTTCACCACACACCCTTTGAGCAGCCCCATGGCAATGACAGACACACATCGGTGAAGTTAGCAGACCACACTAAGCATGCAAGAAGAGCAAACACTCGTGGAGCCAAACTCGAGAGTCGAGACTTTTTCTTCAAGCAACTCAAGTGTGTGGTTAACTGGGATCTCGACTTTCGGACTTTGGGTTGCAACCCCCAAACAGTGAAATGGGTGATTCAGGACCAGCACAGCAACAACAATCATTTTAGCAAACGAAAACGAAAACAGTGAAATGGGTGATTCAGCACTCAATTGATTGACGATTGAGGTACGATCCAACAATGATAAAACACATAAGAAAGACTGTTGAGAACTTGAAACAGCAAACGAAAGACAATTCAGTGAAAAAATTGTCTTATGATTGAATTGAAATTTGAAAGGCCTTTGAAATTGGTTGCGAGACAGCGCAGCACCGTAAAAATTGGGGATGACTGCGAAAGAATTCCACAACAATTTGGGACACAACGCAGTCGCACAAACATTAACGAACAAACGACAATTCGGTGACAATTTCAACGCAATTCAGAGACAATTTGGGAACAACTCGGTATATCTTTCGGTGCCTCTCGGGCCTCATCAACCAATTTTTTGCCTGTTTGTCTGCGGAAGCACGCAAAGTTGCAAACACAGAAACAGAGGACATAAACACATCACGCGTAAACCGGTGATGAATTCTTCGGTCCGATATTCCATTTGCACGTCGAAACACTGCAAAAGGATTGTTATCCGTACATTGCAGTTATTAACTTCTTACGCTTACAACTGTATATTAAGTTTCTATCCGACTAGCAAACACTGAAGTCCGGCCTTCGGTTTCGCCCACATCAAGCGTGTACCCTTAATAACAATACACAGTTTATCATACAGACTCGCGTGGTATATTAGAATTTAGAAATTAGTACCAAAGCAACATAGTTTATTTAATGCTCTGCGGGTTTTCCTTTATGGCACTTGATCTTGTGATCCCCTACGAGTGGTCGCGTTGCTCTGCTACATCTATCAGGAGGGTTTTCCTAGTAATATAGTTTATTTAATGCTCTGCGAGTTTTCCTCCATAGTTTATGACACTGTATGGAACATTGTATAGCATACAGATACCTACCTGGAGGGGTTTCCTAGAAATAAAGTTTAATAAACACATCTGCAACTTCAGGGGGTAGGGAGAATTTCATGACAACTGATGGCTTAAAACAGTACATCTTTCCTGGCAAAGCATGATAAGAGCAACTCAACATTAGGGTGTGGGGGTACTGGTGATTTAAAAAAGAAATACTAAAAACTGATATTTTGAAAAAGAAAATTGCACGGCATGGTAGAACGAACCCAACATGCTTCATTAAAAAAAAAAAAAAAAAAAAACTCAACATGCTTCACGAATGACTGGTTGAGAACATCATCCTTCATTCCTACCTTTCTCCTCCTCGTCTTCACCATGAATTCTCGTGCAAGATGCTGAGGTGGCGCTGGTTCCAGAGGCCGAAGGACAATGGATTTGTCGAGGGGATCTCCGGGTACGACGGACCAATGATCAAACACTGACATGCAAAAAGCCTGGCCCTGAGTATGATACCTCAGATCTGTCTCGAACCCGAATGACTCTATCACAGGAAGAAAGGCCTGCCACGAAAAAAAAGCACAACACAGGAAACCACCGTCAGTACCTCATCAAACCTTTTGACACTCTTCATTTTCACTTTCCTCCTCTCCCTCCCCTCCCTCCCCTCCCTCCCCTCCCTCCCTCATACGCTCTCCTACCACCGTCAGAGTCATCGTACCTCATCCAACCTACTGACACTCTACATTTTCATTTTCCTCACTTCCTCCCCTCCCTTCCCTCCCTCGGTGGTTTCAAAACACCAATGCATCAAAGTTATCTGAAAGTGGAGATGAGGACAAATGACGCTTGTTGAAAAAATAAAATAAAGGACGAATGACACTTGGCAGGGCAACTGCCATCGTGGAGAGAGAGCTCGGAGGTTTATGAACGAAGGTACGGCACGAAAGAAGAGGGAGGGAGGATATCGTGTATTCCTTATTAGCGGACACTTACACAGAACACCCAGTTAATTACTGTTTATATTAATAAATTTTAAAATTTAACTCGATTAAAATATGAAATTTCAGTAAAACAGGTCCTTCGGGACATTGGAACGATATAGAGAAGATTAGCATGACCCCTGCGCAAGGATGACACGCATAAATCGAGAAATGGTCCAATTTTTTATTTAAAAAAAGAAAAAAGAAAAAAAAGGAAGCATGTAGGAGGAAATTCCTCAAGGGCAAAAGAGACATTGTTCCGAGAAAAGGGGGATGGGAGGGGGGCTGAGACGGGAGGGCGAGGAGACGTGAGACAACCCCTACACACAGATGAATGGCCAGGGCCCACTGGACGCGACTCGACCCCTACAAAGAGCTGTAAAGCAGGGCTGGTCCCCGGTTGAACCAGGGGGACCTCCCCCGACCGGGCGGTCGACCGGGCCGGCAGACTCCCGGTTGAGTCCAGTGCATTGCACTAGAGGGGATCTAGATGTGTATAAGAGACAGCTTTTGGACCCCATTTGTTAAAAAAAAAATGGCCGGAGGATCTCTGCCGCTGACTTTTGCAGATCAGCAGCAGAGAACCGCCACACATTTTTTCTTAAGATGTGGGTCGGGTAGGCGCCTTTTCCAATTTGTCGTCTTGTGGTCCAACAGACCAATTACCATTGGCGACATCTGAATTGGAAAAAGTTATGGGTTCAGATGTGGGTCGGGTAGGCACCCTCGGCCACGAGGGGAAAGCCATGCTTGTAATGAGGCTCTGCTCAGATTATATCCTTCTGCAACGTCCTTGCCATCTGTGGAAAAAGTTATGGGTTCGGATTTCAGAATCGTGATGTCAGAGCCGTCCGAGGTGCAAGCCCAATAATGGACCTAAGCTATATTTCTCTCTCTCTCTATCTTGAATGGACCTTGCTCCGCTACATGCATCTGGACAGACTGCCAGGCAACATACTTCCGGACTGATAACTCACCTTATGTAGAAAAGAACAAACGGAAAACGACGCTCTGCCTCCACGAGCTGAAAGCTGGACCCATAGCTCTTCTGCTGTCGAGCTCTACTCTGAAAGAGCTATAAGTTCTGGCAAGAACCTCCTCGCATCATATCTGGTTCAGCTCGTGGGGTATCACTATCAGATGACCCACTCCACGAAGTGCTCCAGTCGCAGGGGGGTCAGATACCTGAGAAATTGCTTACTCAACCCCTCCCCGTGGAAGCCATAGTTGCCTGAATATATGTCAATAAGTTAATACCCCCCTGCCCCCTTCTGGAAGCCCCCTGAAAAATATTGTACCTTGAAAAATTTGTTGTGGATTCGGACAGCTCTTGAAGAGCGCAGTCGGAATCTGCCCAAAAAAAAAAAAAAAAAAAAAAAGATATTTGGGGACTTTTTTTTCAAAACCGGTTTCCCGGTTCACCCCCCCTGGGCTGGTCCGGCTCCGTTTGGACCGGGGTAGGTCAACCGGCCGGTTGCCGTCCCAGCACTGCTGTAAAGTGCAATTAGGTTGCTGGGGTCAGTTCCGTCATCTACGAGGGAGGGAGGAGGGGGGGAGGGGAATTGGTCCTATGTTTGTGCTCAGCAATAGCACGGATTTGGCCAGTTTCCTGACCAGGTAGAAAGCATAAACATAGCACCAGTGAAACCTGGTCCTGAGTACCGAGGAGAAGAAACCTACAATCTTGGTCCGAATAGAACGCCCGGTCATTTGTTTATAATAAAAGAAAAGAAGAAGAAGAAAAAAAAAGAACGCCCGGTCATTATAGCTGTGTTTGGGTCAACTTCCAGTCTAGATACAGCTATAATGACCGGCATTCTATACGCCACAAGATGGCAATAGACTGAGTTATGGAACTGCTAAAAGAGTCCAAGGACTTACGGGACAACCGAGATAATTCACAGAACACGAAAGGCAAAGAGATAACGCAGCTAGGGCAAGAACAATATTCAAGGGGATCAACCCAACATCAGACAGGGCCACGCATTCGTAAGCCAAAATTGTAGAGAAGCAGATAGATTCATGGAGCTGTCGAGAACGGCTTTTGCGTGCCACCAGCCAACAACAAGGGAAAAGACCACTGGTATTCAAAATGGTCATCGTGTGCACAGGCCCTGTAATCGGGAAAAACGGACGTGTGTTGTCCATGGGCAAGGGTCCGAATGGTACCCATGTGATCCTCGCTCCCCAGACTGTAAAGGTGCGTTAGCCATGAGGCTATATTTTCTGGCTTTTGAGTGTGACCATGGGCTATATTTTGCGGCTTTTGAGTGCGACCAGCCAGACCACTGGTAAAAGGCCATCGCGTGCACAGCCCTGTTACGGAGAAAACCGCACGTGTGTATTCCACAGACAGGTCGCCGAATGGTACACCATCTGATCCTCCCTCCCCAGACTGGAAAGGTACGTTAGCCATGAGGCTATATTTTGCTTGTCTTTCAAAAAAAGGAAGAAAAACGTCTCTGAAAACACAACGCACTCCTTTGCTCGAAACCCACATCATCACCAACAATGAACTTTCTGAAACCAAACTTCAAAACTTGTACAGCCTGAGTGTCTGGATTGGGGTAGAACTGGACTTGGGAAGTTGGGAGTGAAAAGAAAAACAAACTTCAAAAGTTGTAAAAAAACGGTCGTAAAGCCTGGGGTTTTACAACACACACACACAAGACAGAAAGGCATATTTTATTATTTTGACTTTTAGAATTTCAGTACATGCCTTCACAATGTAGAATGGTGTTCCCGGCTTAGGAACCTCCGCCGTCGCATGACCTCGTCGCCTCGAGAGAACGTTGTGAATGGCTGACATGCAGTCAGCAGGTGTTTGAATCTGTTGACAACAACGAAGAGAGCATGACGAACATGGACGAACACAGGTCAGCAAGCATGTCGACAACAAGCTAACGCTAGCCAAGGAACTTCAGAGCAGCACCGACACCAGAGGTTAGCCTGTTGGTGACAACAAAAAATGCAAACCATAAAAAATGTCAGGAAGTGCAGAGCTGGACATGGGTCCTTCAGTCTAGACTGAAAGAAACAGGGGCATTGGTCAAGCTCTGCAGTCTATTGTCGGACTTGCCGGTGGATTGGAGCGGGACTGACGCTCCCCAGACTGGACAAGAAGCCAGGACCATAAGGACTCCTTTGGAAAAAAAAAAGAAAAAAAGAAAAAAAGAAGGGTGGCGGCCTTGAGATATGATCACCGAACTGACCGTCCCAAGGTAATTCAGAATATTCTAATACTTTACTCATCTGCTTCCATTGAAATTTGAACTCATGGTACGACCATACCACGGCTAATGCGCCCGATCGCATCCGAACTCGGAAACCAAGCACCATCAGGCCGGACTAGTACTGGAATGGATGACCTCCTGGGAAGTCCCAGTGCTGTACCTACAGGCGAGTTCGAACTCAGGTCTGTATTTCAACAGTTCAGGGGTGCACCAACCGACCCAGGACCGGAAGGACTTGTTTTTACTAAAAGAGACAGTGTTGCATACCCAGACGATCGGCGGCCCTTGACTGGTTGGACGCCGACCAGCTGACCTGTTGGCTGGTCGGCACCTACCGGTCGCAGGGGTCGTCAGCACCCCCCCATTTTTTCCTTGGGTCCAGAACCCCTTATAACCTCACCAACACCCCCATAACCACCCCCAATACCCCCATACACCCCCCAACACCCTCAGACCCACCGCCATACACAGCTCCCAACTCAGATTTTGAAAAAAAAAAAAAAGTGGATGGCTGTTTTCTGACTGGTCGGCAGATCGCCGACCGGTCGGCCCTGCTGGTCGGCTGCAATACGGTCGGCGGTCAAGGTAGGCGGTCGGCGGGTATGCAACCCTGACAAGGGGCAAAAAAAAAAGGAAGTGCAGAGCTGCGCTGTCTCTGTCTTTCTCCTCTGTTGCTATCGTACAGTACACAAGTGGCTCGCCTTGCTATTTCAAACTGTGCTGTTGTCGTCAACCACACAGCTGCCTCGCCATCTTCTTTCGACTCCGGTGTAATCGTCAACATGACTGCAAAACCATTAGGATGCCATGTGGCAAGTAACACAGTTGTAACGATCACTACAACGATGCACATGTGTGACGAAGTGTGTGATTAATACATCCAACCAAAAATGACTGTGGCTACCACCACCGCCGGCATCAACAACCATCAAAAATCCACACCACATGCATTCGAGAATCCACCGAAAAGAGGAGGAAAAGTAAGAGAAGAGGAGGAAGAAAGAAAAAGACGAAGGAACGAGAGGAAGGAAAGCAGAAGATAGAACAACACCAGGATTAAAAAAGAGTCTCCCGTACGCGACTCGAAAAAGATGTCACAACGAAGTTCAGGTGGCAATGGACCCGACTAGTCTCGGCTGACCGCCCCCGACGATTCGTCAGGGATCTTGGTCGGTCGTGAGGTGCCTAGCTAGTGTAGACGTCACCTATTTATATCCTGTGTTCTGAAAAGGAACCGAAGATCTCATCAAGAGCCAACAGATCGTAGAGAATGTCGAATAGGAAACCGCCAACCCAACTGCTAACAAACCACCAAGTTTCGAACCTCCGACCTACTACCAAAAACATTCAGCTACTGACTCCTGGACTGACAACCAGCAGTCAGTACACTATGAGACTAACCAGTCCCTTGAAGACCCCGGGACTGAAACCCGCGGGAATGAAATCAGCCACTTGAAAACCACAAAAAAAAACAGGACTGGAACCCGCGAGTCAACCAAACACGAATCGCGTCCGTTCCTTCAATAAATGGTCCCATACACAGCCTCAGAAAACAAAATCAACAAACTGTGTGGTCCCATAACCACCACTGTCGACCTCGCTACGGATCATCAGTAAGAAGAAAGGAACAGACCAAGACCAATGCAGTGGTGACGTACAACTTTTTAACCACAGCTGCGACACAACGATGCACATGGCCATGGGCCTTGCTCCACTACTCACCAAATGTGCAAAATGAGAATGAATCTAAGCGATAGGACATCAGCAGATACACCACCATTTTTTTTTTGTCTTGCGTGCGTGCCGTGAGTAGTGGGCCGAGGCCCCATATCGGGAAGAAGGTTATGTCGGGACCACCACATCCTAGCATGCATGCTTCTAGCATGCTATGTCCAACACCCTTTTTATACAAATCCTACTTGCGTGCCCTTGAATAGAAATGGTATCTGCCTCCACCTGACCTGGAATTTAGCCCTGAATATAATAGATACAATAACCCCAAGCTCTGCTCAGTTTAGCTGCACATGGGCAAAGGGCCATTTTGTCTCTGTAACGCTACCTTACGTTGGGGGAGTTTTAGGGAATTGGGGGGGAGGAGGGGGGAAGGGGGGGGGGGGGGGGGGGGGGTGGACTGGAGAGGCAGTTAACGGAGGCCTCAATTTCCAGACAACTTCTCATGCCATTTCAAAATTGACCCCCCAAACCCTAATTTCAGTTTTCGACCCGTTACGCAGGAGCTGAAAGTGGAGGTCCCCTTTAACCACTTGTGGGGGACTATTGATCATGAATGAGGTGGCAAGGGGGTTGGAGGAGGCAGAAAGAGGGGGCTCACCTCTACATAATATACAGGCTCCATCAAGCGAGGAGTAGCCATCAGAAATGCAGAGTATGCAACCCGTCGTGCCGTTGGGATGATCTGACCACCACCCCTGTGCAAAGGCTCAGGAGCAATTGTTGCAGCGAGAATCTTGAAACGAACGTTTCGAATCGGCTCATCGCAAAGAGGCCCTTCGCGTGCACCCCACTGAAACCTGCACATTGTTGAGGGGAAAAAAAGGTTTCCAAGTTAGTTAGGACTCCTTGTATTCCTTGCACAGCAGCCATGCTAATCTTCTTTCTCTGCATCGTTTCAATTTTAACAGATGTCCCCAAAGGACTACCGTCTTCACCTGAGTAGAGCGCCCCCCCGTTATTATGGTTGTATCTAGACTGAAAATTTGCACCAAATACGGCTATAATGACCAGGCATTTTATTCGGGCGAAGACGGTAGTTGAAAGTTAGTTAAAAGAAGAGGAATGGGGAGAAGAGAGTTCAAAACACAAAAAGTTATGCAACTGCGATCAACACCAAAGCGGCAAAGAATTCCATCTCTTTCCCCAAAAGGCGTAAAAAGCACAACATGCATTGCACTTTGCATACCATCTGGTCACCCGTCCCTATTACTGACCCTCTCTGCCGCTATTTTGTTCTTTTTTTTTTTTTTTTTTTTTTTTGGGTGCTCACTATCGGACTATTTTTTTTTTTGGGTCAAAAACTTGGCATTCCTGCAATGAAGTGGATTAGGTTGTCACAAAGGAGCCATTCACTGGAATTCAACTATGCACGCACTTGTTAAGTTCTTGTAATGGGTGACTGCCTACACTTTCTTCAAGTTTCTTTTTTTTTAATAAAGTTGGACCATTTCTCGATTTATCTGCGGCTTCTGTCACCAAATCTAAAACCCCAAAAAGAAGGAAAACAGGAAAAAAAGGACCTGTAGCTTCCCCTCGAAAGTGTTGAAGGCCTGAAACAGACCACTGGAGCTGAGCAAAGCATCAATCAAGAGAAATGAATTGAAATATCCTTAAATTGCGGTCATTTAATGCAACAAGAAACAATCAACACCTGTGCTATAAACTGGGCCGCACGGCCGGGCAAGGACCAGGGAACGTCCCTGTTATTAAAAAAAAAACAAAAAAAAAAACAAAAAAAAAAACATCCCGAAAAAAAACATGTTCTGCAGAAAAATAAACTGAACAACTTTTGCCTCAGGGTCAGACCGAAATCATGGCTGAGCCGGCCCGGACACCGGACGCCGGACCTCCTGGCCCTATCCGGACTACCGCAAAACCGGAATATTTCGGGATATCCAGAACGTTCCGGATGTTCTGTCCGGATCTCCGTCCGGACGCCTGTATTTTCTGTAAAAGATTGTCTGGGTTGGTATACATACAAATTTCCTTTTTTGATATTTTATATTTGTTAATCCATTTTGGTGGGGGGCAGGGGATCGTTGAGGGAATGCTCTATCTCGTGGGTGTACCAGCGCTGAAAGCGAAACACATGGGATCCGCCAACTGCAAAGGGATGAATTATGCCGTTGGCCTTTGCCAATGGCCACAGTGACTGGAAAGAAATTAAGAAAATTCAAAATGGAGCACATACGGCCCGCCAAGTGGCAGGCAGAGAGAAACAGGGGACAGAAAGTCCGTGGAACTGTTGCAGGCGCCTCTCCTGATAGGGTGCTGTGTCCTTTCTGAAAACGGGATTCTGTTTTCTTTTTTTTTTTTTCTTTTTTTTTTTCTGTTGTTTGTTTTCGTGGGAATGTACAAAAGCATCCAATCCTGGGAAGGTACGGGCGCATGAAAGGACACAGTCACGCCCTTCTGACGAAACAAAACAAAAAACAAACAAAACAAGAAAAACGAAAATATTTCGGTTACCTTTGGAGGGCGGAGGGAGGGCATATGCGACGCTCCACTACTCGCCACATGAACAAAAGACAAAAATATGGCGGTGTATCTTCCCATGTTCTAGTAGAAGATTCATTCTCATTTTCCACATTTCATAAGTAGTGACGCAAGGCTTAAAGTCCCCATAATCATTGCAGGTTTCTCTCTGAAAATAGGATCTGCATTTTTTTTTTTTTAAAACGTTCTTTGTTTTGGGGGCAATGTCCTGAGAAGATACGGGCGCGTCTGAATGTGTACAGTAACGGCCTTCTACATAAAAAACTAAAAAGAGGGTGCTTTCCGTTGGCGAGGGCGGGAAAAGAAACTGAGAGGATGGGCGGGAAAAAGCGAACTTATGGCCCCTCCTTCCGGCCCTGTCTGGATGCCAAGCCGGACCTTTAAAAAATCACCCAGGACTTTTCCGCAGCGGCTCAGGATGGAAGAAATGGACCTGGGATGCCAAAACAAAAAACGGGCTACCGCCGATTTCCCGACCATCCGGACTGGAATCCAGACACCTGGACGCGGGTCGGTCCGGATCCCTGTCCGGGTGTCCGGATCGTAGCTATGACCGAAATTCTTTGCGAAATACGAAATAAAAAATAAAAACGATAAAATTAAACAAATTATTACTTCTTTTTTTTTTTGGGTACTTTTTTATTCATTTTTGGCCCGGTCAGGCAAGTGGTCCCCGGCCACTCTGGTAACATAGATCAAGTCTGATCAACACACCACCATTCGTTTTTGCAAACCCTTGTCCGAAGCTTCGACGAGAAAGAGTAGATACTAGATATATATATATATATATCATACATACCCTTGAACAATATAGTCCTTCAGAGCATCCAGTAAACCCTTGTCCACTTCTGGCGCCAAAGTGTCATCTACAAGGATGTTTGGCCCCTGCATCGAACAACAAGATCAGCTAACTGTTAAGTGTTATAGACTTATAGAAGTTATAGTTCAATTCACAAGTTCACATCGCTGTCACCACCAAATTGCCAATCTCTCTAGCACAGCGGCCATGACCCAACAAGCAGACGCTCTCCGTCCAAGATTGCTTCATTTCTCCCTACCTCTTCCTCGCCAAGTGCCATCGTCCTTTAGATCAAACCATCATGTGAACACGGTCGCTGCCTGAGAGATCCCACCCACAACATATACAGCAAAAAACGGGTACGTCCATGGTGATGACTACATATGGTCGCGTCTGACGATGCTTTGGAGACGTCTGCAAGATGCTAACTCTCACCGTATCAAGTTGTATTGTCCTTAAAAAAAAAAAGAACGAAAAAAAATAAATTGTATTGTTCTGTGAGACAAGTGATTTTGGGATATTTTATGTGATGTAGGAACTGTTATTAGACTTTATCTCAATGATTTTTCAAATTTGTGACTGCCAACAAAAAATTATGGGACATGTTGCGTGTTATGCGACTTGACGAAATGTATACAAATGCACACCCAGACACACACATACACACACAGCACAATCCTCATCTTACTCCCCATAGATAGAAGTATGAATGTCCCAGCACAGCCCTCTCCCTCCCTCCCCTCTTTCTCTGTCTGCCAGGTCATCAGCTTGGAAGACTTCAGCTAAGGACGATGATTGCCAAACATTGTAATTTCTCTTTCCAGGAACAACAGTTGACCTTCCACTTCATTTAAATGTTAAGGGTATCACCACCTCATGCACATTGTACTCTCTCTCTCTCTCTCTCTCTCTCTCTCTCTCTCTCTCTCTCCTGTCTCTTATACACATCTAGATGTGTATAA